TATATATATATATATAGCACGTGAGCAATCGTCCATTTTTTCCCCAGCCGCGACGATCCGTATGTCCCGCCTGCGTCGCCGCGTTCTGATATGTCCAAATATTTTAATTAATATCTCGAAATTTTACGTGGTTGTTTGAAAAATGACTTCTACAATTTTTTTTATTTTTATTTATTTATTCTACTTATATTTTTTGCATGTCTTACGCTGTATATATATACAGGGTGTCCCGAACCTCCATGATGACCCTTAGTGAGAACGTAGAACAGATTGAGGTGAGTAAGAAAGTCCTGTGCCGTTTTACAATATTCGCAATAAATAGTCGAGATATTAATTAAAAAAGATTGATGAATAATCACGCGCGATATGGTAGATGAGCTGCAGTGGGGCCGTCTGCCGTTGTATACTTATATATTAAGTCAAACTGAACAAAAACGTCCTCTACCAATTTGCAAAAATGACCACATAAATTTTTAAATATTAAAGAAAATTGTTACATATGATTGTATATCGTAATGCATAAATTTTCTTTAATTAATATCTAAAAATCTATATGGTAATTTACAAAATGGTAAAGAACTTTTTTGTTCAGTTTGATTTAATGTATAAGAATACAACAGCAGACGGCGCCACTGCAGCTCATCTACCATATTGCGCGTGATCATTCACCAATCTTTTTTAATTAATATCTCGACTATTATTGCAAATATCACAAAACGACTCGGACTTTCTTGCTCACCTTAATCCGTCCTACGTTCTCACCAAGGGTCATCATGCAGGTTTGTGACACTCTATATATATTGTGATGTGGCAGCCTCGGAAGCGCCCGTCTCAACAGAAACCGGACCGAATTTGGGTGAATGTTTCTCGCGGATCGCGTCGCGAACAGCTTTTCGCGAATATTCTCGGTTACCGCGTCCCGTCGTGTTTTTGTTTGTGAAAGTCTACAGGACGAATATTAGAAGCGGTTTTTGCAAGCGGAGCAGATGCGAAGGTCAGCACGTCCCTAACTTTGTGCTCCTCGGCTTCCCTTGCCGGCCATCAGGACTAGAGGAGCGGAAGACATCGAGGGACGAGGAAGTAGCGCCCGACGACGCATCGCTCATATTCAGGTGAATCGCTCTCTCAAAATTTTGTGTTAAATACTCTTGGATCGCCGATCGCTCAACAATATCGAATTCTCTAATGATTAGAATATTCCGTACCGAGAGCACAGCTATCGCAAATTAGACGTGAGATTATCAGCTGTATTTACTTTTAGTGGACGCAGCCGTCGCGCGGAACCTAGCGAAAAAAAAACTGGAGCGCCGAAAGAGGCAGCGAGCAGATCCACGACGGCAACAATGTCTCGAGACAGGAAACGTCTCGAGACAATCATACCGAAAATTACCGATTCCCGACTGCAGATCGCAGGACGAGAGGGGAAGCGACGAAGGAGGACTCGCAAGGATACGCGATCCTCCGAGAGCCGACGGTCGAGCAGCCTTATCGCGACCGTCGCCACGACTACACGCGAGCATTACCGTATCCAACCGCTGCGATTACCGTACGCGAGAGCGAGAGAGTGAGAGATAGAGAACCAGCGAGAGAGTGACTGAGCGAGAGAGAGAGAGAGCGAGAGCGAGAGAGAGCCCGAGGGAGCGTGAACGAGGAACGGCGAGCGAGTGACGAAACAAGAGCGGAGGGAGAGAGGGAGTAGAGAGAGAGAGAGACAGGATCGCGGAACGGCCCTCCGGAGGATACCGCCACTGCCGACGTTCGTCGCCAAAAGAGCCGCCGATTAATGTAAGACCGCTCATCTGCTCTATATTTCATGACACCGTATCGTAACTGTTTGTAACGCGTACCGGTCGTAGAGTATATCGTTATCTCGTCCGCGGAGCAGCCGCGCGCGCGTATTAAGGCTCACCCGAGGAGACCGTCCTTGGGTTTCTCGTTGGTGGAAGCATACCGTCGGATCGCGAGTAACGCCTGCTTTTTGTGAACCTTGTCGAATTTTATCAGGACGTGCGACAGTCCCGAAAATAAACTTCTTATTATCGAGTACGAGTCGAGTCATTTTCATCTTTTCCTGACCCATCCCGTCTCCGACTTAAAATCCTAGGAGCTACCAGTCCCAACGGTTCCGGGACACGTAAATTTCGTGTTTCATATCGGATCTTACGCTTATCGAAGTGGTGCGGCCTTTCTGCACCTGGCGCCTAACTATCGTTCGCGTTTTAGTGGCGTGAATATATATATATATATATATATATATATATATATATATATATATATATATATATATATATATATATATATATATATATAT